CTTGCTTGTCACTCCATCTACAAAGGGTCCAAGTTATAGTGCAGTTTAGGGTTTAGGGTTTAGGGTTTAGGGGTTTAGGATTTAGGGTTTAGGGTTTAGGGTTTAGGGGTTTAGGGTTTAGGGTATAGGTTTTATATACCTTTGGGGCCCAAATACCTACAAAGTAGCTACCATATTAATACTTAGACCCTTTGGGATCTACATCTCCCAGCAGCACACGCCGTGGAGTTCTGCGCCTTCCAGGATTCATCCTTCTGTCTCCATCCTACCTATACCCTGGGGCTCCAAATAGCCCAAAGTAGGTAATATTTACAGACTTTAGACTCCAAAGTAGGTACTATTTGTATACTTGGAGCCTTGGGGATAGTCTCCATTGTAGTCCTTTTTTTGGGTTAGCCAATTCTATATCAAGGATCCCAAAAAAGGTAACCCCGAAAAGGAACCGCAATGGAGACTAGAGGTACTTGCCGTGACAACCAGCCTGATAGCTCGAGATTTTTCAGGGTTTTGGGCCTCGGGCCTGATATGAAGGCTTTACGGTTTAGGGTTTAGGGTTTAGGCGCGAAAATTATGTCCAGGATGCGAAACGTATGCCTCCCAGTTGATGTTTATAAGCTCTGACGGGGTGTTCGGGCAATCCCCTAGGTTCCCCAGCAGCCTACCCTTTTTCCTACTATTTGAATTTAAAAAGGAACCCCAAAAAGAAAAAGGGCAAAAGGGTATTACGGGGGAACCTAGTCCCTATAATAAGCCCCCAACAAAAAGACACCAATGCCGGAGACGTTTTTAAACAAGGGGCGAAGAATCTCGTGGTAGACCTGGGCTTTGGGTTTAGGGTTTAGGGCTTAGAGTTTAAGGTTCAGGGCTTAGGGTTTAGGGTTGCTTGCCAATCGCTGCTATTTGCATCTGGGTGGTTGTCCAAATGAGGGTCTCGTTAAGCTACCAAGATGTTGACCGTCAACCCGGGGTCTTACAAGGTCTAGCCGGGTTGGAAGGTTTCGGTTTGAAGGGTGTTGGGTTTAGCACACGAAAGTACAAGGCGAAAAGGGAGTGGAGCCTACCAGCTTGGGGTTTAGGGTTTGAAAAGGGCGTCGTCGGTTCGGGATGGTTTTAACCAGAGAATTTGCTTTGTTGCAGAATCGAGGCGTGTGTTGCCAGATTTCTCGTTGCACAATGGCTGCAACAACCAAAAAGTCTATCAAGGCAACTCTACCCATAGGCCCCTTAGTAATTCCTTCCTGGAATTACCGAATAGGACCCTAAATAGAAGCCACGAAAAGGAACTACTATGGGGCCTATGGGTACTTCACAGAGAAAACCACCCAAGCACTCAAACTCCGGTAACCTCGAAGCTGCAGTCAAGTGACCTTCTTGGCAATGTCGCGATCGACCTCCTCCTTCCTGAGCTTCTGCATTTCTTCCGAAGTTTACTGCTCTATCGCGTAGTAAGAGAAGCAGCAGTATTTTTGCTGTTAGGGTTTGAGGTTGAGGGCTTCGGGAAAAGGGGTTTTTAGGGTTAGTAGTACTACTCGTCTTCGTTGTCGCTGTCGTCGTCATCTTGCGAGCAGCAGCAGCAGCAGCAGCAGCGGCCCCTGATTCTTTTGACTATAGGGCCTTCATAATTTGAATAGGGTTCTGGGGCATGTTACTGTAGAGTTATGCCGATGAAGACGACAGGACAAAATAGGTCGTTGTTCCTTCAGCCTGAAGAACTCTTTACATCTTCGCCCTGTCGCGAAAATCTGCCGGGACACAGCCGGCCCCACAGCGTCTTCACGAGCTTGCCCTTGCAGCCCTGACGGCTATAGATTTTAGGCCGAGGACATAAGCGCCGAGCTCCAAAATTTGTCGGGGAACCGAACAAGAACCTAAATCGATGGTTTAGGGTTTAGGGTTTGGGTGCCCCTAGTCGAAGCCCAACTTCAACTCCTGTTCAACGTGTCATCTCACCCCGGTGCTCACCCGACTTAGATGGAGGCAAGCCCGGGGTCTTGTCCCAAAGGGTCCAAAGTACCTACATGGTAGAAAGTAGGGTGATGGTTTGGGTAAATCTCCCTCATATACGTACTAAGGGTCCCTGAGGCATTTGAAGAACAGCCCAGAGAGCTCAATACCACATAATCAAGAGGCACAATGCTGAAAGCTTGCGGGGCTGTGGTACGACAAACTTCCCTTCGTAGCAAAAAGCAAAATTCCCTCAACCAAACATCGGGTAATCTGGAGTGTAGATGGAGGGTCCAGGTTGACTCGGAACACTGAAACCTACCCTAAGGGTCCATGTACCCAAATAGTAGATACTTTGACCTTAAAAGTAGTCCCTATGTGGGTACTTTGGAGCCAAAGTATCTACTATTTGGGTACATGGACCCTTAGGGCTAGTGTCAAGGCAAGGTCGCCTAGGCGTAACAAAAACTTCGATGCTTGTAAGGTCCTTTCGCAAACTTCCCTTCGAAAACAAGCATCTTGATAGACACCGCAGCAGGTACCCAGGTACAAGTATATTGGAACTCGTCGGTCTAAGCTACCACCCCCCCCCCCCCCNNCCCCCCCCCCCTCAAAAAAAAAAAACGAGCATTCCCCAAATCCCCCAAAACCTCGAGCCCTAAACCGATGCTGCCTCGAACGCCACGTGATTTTCAAGCTCACCCTCACCGTCATCCCGCATCCACAGTAGAGTTGGCACCCGGATGCCAGACTCCTTGTGGAGATTGCAAATCCCACGTCCGTAAAATCTCCAGCAGCGACAGAGTTGTACAATATAGTGCGTCTTTATGCTACACTGGGCTCGAGGGCTCTTTATCAGCATTAGGGTAAGCCCAAGGGCAAGCAGGAGTTCGGGATGCTACCTAGCCGTGAAGATAGAGCCCTCGCTCATCCGATTCATGCGTTGCATTTGGGGCTCTGTAGTGCAGAATGTGGAGTTAGCCACCCCCAAAAAGTCCAAGATATTGTTCTGGGGGATACTTCC